AATTTATTCAGATTAGAACAATCCAAACGCACTCATTATTTTTCGTGTAGAGCAGTGCCGGTCAAAGGATAAATTCCAATGAGCGGCGAAGCTTTTGCCCAAAAAAAATAAATAAATAATAAAGTAACCCAAAATAAATGAAAATTAAAAGTATTTTTATTAGAAACCGCACATCAATGATGCGACAATCCTTAATTCAGAACCCATCCTCCAAGAACACCAATTTTTTAAAAATTTTTAATTTTGACAATATTTTGAGAAATTCGCCCAAAAGCTCCACTACAAAATAATGAGAATACATAGGATTATTTGGAGCATATGGACAATAATAAATTAATAACCAACCAAATAGATCAATAACAATAATGTCATCTCTTAAAAATTACAATTTCAAATAAGTGAGCTTGAAAGAGAAATCCAAAAGTTGATCTTATAGATGTGTAGAGTATGGTTGATAGAATCGCATAGCTAAAATTTTATCCCAATTAGATTTCATTTTTCCATTCAATTGAGGCCTTCAAGTTTCAAAATCTCTCTCTATAGCTTTTTTCTCTCTCTAGCCAAGTTTCTGTCTCTTCGTTTCTTTTTTTTTTCTTTGAATTGATGTTAATTCTTTCTTGCAGCTGCTCTTGCTAGTTCAAGAGACTAGTTATAATTTCTCTCAAGTCAAAACTAGGTTGGATTTTATGAAGATGGGCTTGTAATTTCAATGGTTGCCAAATGAAGATGGACATAAGAATATGGAGACAGTCAAAGAAGGTGATTGTGGAGACTGACATTGAAGTGTATGTAGAACTGTTGTCAAGGGCTCTCTTTGATTCTTCTCTCTCCTTCCCCTCATTACAACTTGATTGAGCAGATTAACGAGCAGTAACATCTAACAATATAAAAGAGAGTGTTGGGTTATGAATAGTAATTTTTGGTCAAGCGGTTATGCTGCAATTATTGTTGGATGTGGAGGTTATTTTCGTCAATTGACAATTGTAATAATACGTACAAAATACATAGCCCAAGCCCAACGCAATTATCTCCCACTACACAAACATTTACAAGCAACAAGTATCGACCCTACCTTGCCCCACTTACTATCCACAATAAATGTCATTAACTCTGCCCCAACTTCTACCACTTTATGACAAAAAGCTCCCCATCAATCTTAGCACCATTTTACCAGCAAAAAAAATCAACCACATCAGAGAATTTACTGCACCTTTCTTCTCGAACTTTTGGCCACTAACAGCTTCAGCCATTTGCACGACTTCAACCGTTTACAGCTTCACACAGAAGACGACGCTTCTTCCACTTTTTACCAGGTTAGTTTCCAAACTTTTCTTGATACTTGCTTCATCAAAATTACCACAATTTATATTCACAATCCTTTTAAAAACCCTAACCTAAATACTAAATCTTATCGTTATTACAAAAATCATGCACCATCCATTTACTTGTTTCGGCCATTTATAGCTATTATTCTTGAGAAAAAAGATTTTAGACTTTCATATAATACATGTGCTTATAACCAAAGACATCAAGAACATAGATCCACCACAAAAATTGCTTAATTATTTATGCAATTAACTTCACAATATATCACCGTATTGAAACGCTACAATTTTGGCCATCACTCACTTCATCTCCAATTCTTCACAAATACAGAAGATTCCAGAATCAACACTCCGACCTAACTGAAGACGTAGGAATCCTCGAAATTAAGAACACTATGTCAATTCCCCGCTGGCTAGAACGAATTCTGCTATTTGTTTCGCCATATCCACTAGGTAAGTCTTATATTTGTCATTCTCTCATCCATTACTTACATCGACTACTACAACTAATCACTAATTCTATTATTGTCAACACAGAAGCTAGCCTTCCTTACGCTAATCCTCACATCTATGGACCACAACCATGCTACTTTACAATTTGCTTTGCAAAGAACAAAAGACTGGTAAGGCCCTAATACACAATACTAGAGCTCTGCATAAATAGACAGTTTTATCCCAAACAAGTAAAATCGCAATTTTTCTGGCAACCAGTTCCAAATGACCTGATCCAAACAGTTCGACAATGCAGACAAATCTTTCTAGCCATCAAAGAAAAGGACAAACAATGGCTCATTACATTGACCAACTTTGAACTCAATCAGGGTTGGACAGACTTCGCAAAAGACCATGACCTCAAGACAGGTGATGTCATTCTCTTTAAACATTTGGCAAACATGGAGTTCAATATAACCATCTTTGGAAAAAACTATCAACAATGAACATATCCATGGACCACGCCAACTCATACACAAAGCAGAAGTAGATCCATTCGCACTCATGCATTTTGACAAATCTACCTACATCTATCAAAATACTGTCACTGGCTTACCAAACAACTTCACACAAGATCTAACCGCAGCATTTTTCCATCGACTTACCCTTGAAGACATCCTTCAACTGGTATAATGTCCTTTTACTTTGTCCATTTTATTGCTCATACTAGAAACAAACTAACTCATTGCATTTCCCAACAAAAATTGCCATTCAGAATCACTACAAAAAAAAACACAAAAATACTACTGCTCCAATCATCCAACTGCACCGACAAAACATCCATGCCTAGCCACATTATGACAACAACTATCTCACAAACGGCTGGACCAAATTTCTAAAGCAAACTCATGCAGAAAATAAATGATCTATTAGTCTTCCTCTCTAGAGCATTGTTGGATTACCAAGTCATCATTTGTGTTGAAAATGGACCAGAAAAATACTCTCTTCAAGACACAAGAATGTTGCTCATATCATACCAATTTGAGACAACATTACCTCTCTAATCAAATCAATTCCAAATGCACTTTTGTTCCCCTTTCATGTAACTATTAACCTAACTATACATGAGACCATGTTTTGGATTGACTTTCATGCATGTAACTGCACTTCCAGGCACGGATTTAAGGGGGGGCTGGTGGGGGCTTAAGCCCCCCCCCAAGCCGCCGGAAAACCCCCTATATATAGGTTCAAGATTCAAGAATTTTTTTTTTATATGTCCTGAGACCAAGAAAACCATCGTAAATAACACAGGGGCCCCTTGGGCGTTTGGGCTCCTTGCCAACGGCCCAGTTAGGAGACTTACTAAATTGGGCAAACTATACTAATACCCGCTGAACGTTTTGAAAAAATTTCTTATTTTGTTCACTTGATTTTTTTTTTTTACCCAATTCGATTTGATCATTTAGCCTAGCTTAGATGCCTCATCTTTCCCATTCGTCTAATGTCTGCCTTTATCTCACTGATTAAAAGGTCCTAGATTTAATACGGTATCTTACCCAGAGACATTTTCATCTATTATCTTCATCCGGTTAAGCCATTTACATATAGAAATGTGTTAAATTTTGTATTATTTAATTAATAGTTATTAGATTTTAAGGAAATAAAAAAGAATTAAAATGTGATGTTATGAAGGAGAAAAAAATAATATGATAAAAAGTGAAACAGAAAGTAGCACAAAAGATCCGTCGTGCGTATCAATGAAATTGAATAAAATGGGCAAAATAAGGTATTTACTATTATTGCATAACCTTTTTGAGCACCCCCAACAAAATAGGAATAAAAATAAAAAAGATTAGTACATACTGACTGATTATGCAGGTGATGATGCATATCATTATCATGTAATTTAATACTAAATGATTTTTCTTATGACCACCTTAACTTGATCGGGCAATGTATGGATGTGCTAGCAAGGGAACATATGGCTTTATTGTCAAGACTGATTTGCGCAACAAAATGGGAGACGAGTGGATGAATGACTGTCTGGTTGTATACATCGAGAAGGATATTTTTGCAACAATTGAAAATGAGCAAATATTGCAGCGTTTTCAACGGATGAAGACTCGCAGAATGCAATTGCCTCCTCTTCGTTATTCGAGTGCAACAACTACCAATACTTCAAGTGTTAATCAATAACAAATTTTTTGGTATGTATAATTATATGTTTTTATTATTTTTATAATTATTGATTCTAAATTTTACTTATTAAATATATTTATTTCGTCACAAAAAAAAAATTTTAATACACTTCAGCCCCCCCAAAAATAAATTTCTGGCTCCGTCCCTGACCAAAGGTTCCCCACTCGCAAATCGAATTGGAATTTAGGCGTTACTCAAACCATTGATTTTGTGAGTGGAGTTATCACTTGAAACCCACCTACTTCATATTGGTGCAAGATTAGAAGTGCAGACCGTGGAATATTATAAATTACATTTCGTACTCAAAGCAACATACGTAGCCAACCATTAACTGACCGGAGATAAGTCTTTGGCCGCGGTGAATTGGGCAGGGACTTGCTCGGCAGACCCCACTAATTGGAAGTTGTTATTGGGTGATGCATCTATGGTTAAGTTCATTGAACTTGAGAATTGACTCCTAAAATGTCATCTGCCATTATCTGTGTTTTAGCTTCAGGGATTATTTTAATATAGTTTCCGAACAGCCTGGCAATAAGTAAAATGCAACAAGTGCTGAATTTTCGGCTGGCACTTGCGGCTTAAATTTCCTATGTTTCTCTGCTTTGCTCTTCTAAATTCCTGAAGGGTACATTTACTCTCCATGTATGTATCATTCTCTTTGGACATTAATCCTCCTTGGACATGTAATTTTCTTCAATACAATCATTTAGATCATAGAATTATATATTTTTTGAAATAGAATTTTACTTATTCTTGTAACTTTCTATTGTAGATAAATGGCACGTCTTCCTTTTACAAATAGAAGACGGAAACGAATGCGCAATTTTCGAATTATGTCGGCAATGCTTATGACTTTCATTGTGGTTTTCATGATGTGGTACCATGTGACTTTGGTGTATTTGTACAATGTGAGGCGTACAATAAAATCTAAAGAAGAAAAAAAAAGAGAGAATACAGTGGTTATTTAGAATCACTAGAGAAAGTGATATTCATTGTGTGAGTATACTTCGCATGGATAGACGCACATTCGGCATATTATGTGACATGGTTAGAGATGTTGGGGGTTTGAGACCCACAAGAAACATGAGTTTAGAAGAAATTGTTGCCATGTTTGTGTACACTTTGGCTCACCATGAAAAAAATAGAACGATTGGCCTTACATTTTTCCGAAGTGGAGAAACAGTGAGTCGCCAATTTAATCTTTGTCTTCTAGCAGTATTAAAATTACATGACTTGCTACTCGAGAATCCTGAGCCTATTACTGATGAGTGCACAGACGACAGATGGAAATATTTTAAGGTACTGTATATTGTAAATTGACATAAATATTTTGAATTTTAATGAAATTTTCTTTGATTTACGACATATTTTGTTACTAATTTGATATGTTTGGTTCTATAATAGAACTGTCTTGGAGCTTTAGATGGGACTTTAATTAAAGTGACACCACCTAGTGATCAGAAGCCAAGATATCGAACAAGAAAAGCAAGTATTGCAACAAATGTATTAGGAGTTTGTTCCCCAAACATGAGATTTATATATGTTTTGCCTGGTTGGGAAGGTTCTGCACATGATGGTCGTGTGCTTCGAAATGCTATCTCTAGACCTAATGGTCTTAGAGTACCACAAGGTAAATGTATCATTGGAATATCCAGTATCCTAATATGATTATCTTCAAGAAAAATTTTATTAATTTCTATATGATTAATCTTGAAGGTTGTTATTACTTGGTGGATGCTGGATATCGCAATGCAAAGGGATTTCTTTGCCCCATTTCGAGGGCAAAGATATCACCTTAATGAATTTCATGGTCGTCGACCAGAGACACCTGAAGAATTTTATAATATGAAGCATTCCAAAGCGAGAAATGTGATAGAGAGATGTTTTGGACTACTAAAAGGAAGATGGAAAATTCTAGCATCACCTTCATTTTTTACAATTCGAACACAAGTACGAATTATAATGGCTTGTTGTTTATTGCATAACTTGATTCGAAAGTTCATGTCCTATGATCCACAAGAACAAATGCCATGTGAAGTGTCAGACAGTGAAGAGGATGAAAGTGATGTCGACGATGGAGAAATGGAGTATATAACAACTATTACACCAAGTGATGACTGGACCAATTTTAGAAACAATTTAGCTAAAGAAATGTTCACCACCTGGCGAGCTACATTTGATGGTTGATTTTTAAAGTGTATCACCCTTTAGCCAATTTAGCCCCGAATGCAATCTTTGGTGTATTATTTGTTACAATTTCAAATTTTTTATTTACCTGTAGTTTGAATGAACTTTTGCTTCATAATTTGACAATTTCTTTCTTGAAAGTTTGTTGTAATAAATATGTAAATATATCGAATTGATATTTACTTTAAACTAGAGTTTATTTGTTGACATTACGGTTTATTCTTATAATTATTTAGAGTGATATTTTATGATAGGATGGAGAAAGATGAAAGTATTCGGGGACGAGGAAGAAACAAGTGCTTCTGGAATGATAATGAAGTAAAGGTATTGATTGAAGCATTACAAGAGTTAGCTTGTGATCCCTTATGGAAGACGGATGGTGGATTCAGAAACAACTACATGAATGAGTTACACAAGATAATACAACGCAAGCTGCCTACTTTTGAAAAACAAGTTTCTCCACACTTGGAGTCAAAGGTAAAATGGTTGAAATCTAGATATCATGCAATCACTGACATGTGTAAAGAAAGTGGCTGTCAATGGAATGATGTTGAAAAAAAAATTCAATGTGAAAGGCAATGGTATGAAGATTGGTGTAAGGTAAAAAAACTTCTAACCATAAATTTTTAGTAATAGTCTATTATTTATATTTTCAATGGTATGAAGATTTAAACTTCTGCTTATTTATTTGATTACTATTTTTTAGATGCATAGAGAAGCAAAAGGCCTTTGGGATGTTAAGTTTTCATACTTGGATGATCTTGACATAGTATATGGGCGAGATAGAGCTACTGGAGATGTTGCTGAAGGTTTTGCAGATGCTGTCCACAATATGGAAAAAGAAGTGGAAGAGGTTGCTGCTCAAATAGACTTAACGAATGATAATAACGGTGATGATGATGATGAAGCAAATTCAGTAACACAAACAGCTTCAACAAGTACAAGAAACTCATCAAAGAAGCAAAGAAAAGCATCACCTACAATAGGAAATCCATCAAAGAAGATGAAATCAACTTCAACACAGCCAACCATTGATGTTCAATTTCGACAATTAACAGGACAATTTGGATCCTTCATGGAAGGTATTGCACTAACTTCACCACTATGGCAGCTGTCATGGCAAATGAAGATAAACGTGAACAGTTGGCTGTAGATAGAAGCAATAATTTGCCTACTGAGTTGGTCAATCTTGGATTACCGAGTGGAGACGTTTATAAAGCAGGCAACATTATAGGAGCAGATATAGCAAAGCTAAATATGTTCTTTAATCTTCCTGCTGACATGAGAAGGCAATATGTCATTAATCTCCTCTATCCTTCGTCTAATTTATGAAGTGTGGCTCCTTATTATGAATGTTTGGAAAAGTATGACTAGTAAACATGGTGATAAACTCGATGGGAACTTTTTGTCTATCTTGGAAGTGACTCTGTTCATGATTTTTGGGTTATGCCATAAACATGTTGATTTTTTGTTTGAATTCTATGTAATATCTTCTACTTTTGATAAAATGAAATGACAATATATTATTTATGTCATTTGATTATTTCTAAATAATTATTGTTATGTTACATTATAATGCTCACAGTTACCCTCTCACTGAAAGTGGACTTTTTTTTTTGACTCCTTTAGCTCTTGCAAGAAATACATAGGATTGTCACTCAGTGCATTAGATTTGCTGTAACAAGAGGCCTAAGTTCCGTCCATGATTGAGACAGCCTCTACCAGTATGCCACCAAGATCAATGAAAAGTGAAGAATTTTTATTCTCGTCATGGATAAGTTCGGCCAACTACGTATTTGCCTGTTATAACATGTCAAGGAGGATATGAGCATATGCGAACTTTTGACAAAATGAACACCACAGTAGGATTAAAAGTACAAAAACCTGCATAACTCTCCCCAGCATATGACAAGATTATTAATAAGATTTATGTAATTTTTCTTTTGAAACTTTAAGACAAAGTTTATTGTCAATTTTACAGGTAGGGTTAAAATTGGAAATTTATTAGATTCCATTCCGAAAGAACCAACGAACCAAACATCAAGTATAGTAATGATACCCATTTCAGATACTTGAACCAAACAGATGTATTGGAATGAATGATTTCATTCCAAACCCAGGATATCCGATTCCAAATCCGAATCCGATTCCAAGTTGCGAACCAAACGCCCAAATTAAATCGATCTCACAATTTTTAGGTGAATCAGAACCTTCGTTGCTCCTTGACTAGAGTGGTGAAATTAGTTCATGTTCAATGAATAAAGCCCATATAAAATTGAAGAGAGAGACGCGGCCATCAATTAAGAAATACACGAATTCAATTCGGTCAAAGGAATAAAGCAAAGCAAAGTTGCAGAGTAGGATTCAATGTCTTCCTATTTGCTCCTGCCATCCGCAGGAGAACTCCACTACCAAGAAACCAAGGAAAGTCAACAACCCAAAAAGCTAAGCTAGTGCTCCTCTGCCATGCGTAAGAGAAGCCAAAGGAAATCCTAAGGGAGAAAGTCAACAAAAGTTTTTCAGCTAGTGCTGCCGTCCTGCTAATCTAATTCTAGCCCCTATCTATTGCTCCCCTTTTTCCTCTGATGTGCGGCGGCTCCAGGGAAAATAACATTTCGGCCAAAGTGACCGAAAAGGGCTTGTGTCCCTTTTCTTCCAAAAATGCCATTGCAAGTCTTTTATTTTATTTCTTTTCCGATGATTGTCAAAGTGGCATTGATTGTGGTATTTTTGATCTACTCCCTGAAATAAATGCGAATTATGAAAAGTGAGTAGAATCCAGCAATTAATCCATATCAAGTCAGATAATAGGAGAAATTAGTAATAAAATAAATGATAAAATTGCAACCTATCAATTTCCCCCACAGCTAAACCATGCTTGCCCTCAAGCATAAGAAAAGTACACAAACACCAAAATTTGATGATGGCTATTGCTCTATCTACTAAGTTGCTAAGATATCAAGAAAAATAATAATCAAGCATCAATGGCCAAGTCCAAGGAACATCACTCCGGTTAACTTTTAAATCGCAAACTCTTTCAATTCAAAGTTAACTGATCTAAGAAAACGGAATGACGCGCAGCATTTATCAGCAAATGGTCCAAATATTAACCATAAATCTCCATATCGAATCCATAAGTTGGCAAGCCGACTTTTACCTCAACTAACACAACCTCCACTTCTTCGTTTCTTTTTTTTTATCACATTTTTCTCTTTCTTTTTTTTTTGAATTTTTTTTCAATGGTAACAACAGATTTAGTCGCTAGCCATTGGAGCCTTTTGACGTGAATTTCGACATTTTTCAGATGAAGGAGCCCGGTTACTCAACTCCTATTGTTATACGACCACGTACTCATAAAAATTACTACCTTTGACGCGTGCATCGACACTTTTAGGTGAAGATCCCCGATTACTCAGTAGTAACTAATAGCGGAGTTCAGTTAAACTTATTCACAACCAAATAACACCATAACGCAAATTAACATCGCTAGGAACAAAAAATTAGGAGCAGCTAGCCTCAATTTCGCCAAATATGGAGAACTAAAGTCAATACTGGACTAATTCACATAAAAATGCCAACAGTAATTTCCTATGTCTGGAAAAGTTAACAAAGAAATCAAAAGAGTCAAGCAATCACTGATATTCACCAAGGAGATGTATTGAAATTCAGCCACATCTACTTGATACACTATTATTATTAAAACTTGGCAATAGTAGCATTAAAGGCAATAATCCAGCAAATTTTGACAGTCACACGAGAGCTCATCACTAGAAAGAAAGAAAATGATTGAATGGAAATAAACAAAAACAAACTAAAAATAAAGGAAAAACACCTAAAAACTAGAAGCTACGAAAAATGAGAACCACAACTGATCCAACCCCCCACACCTAAACGATACATTGCCCTCAATGTAGCAAGTAAACATAAAAAAGTAGAGGAGAGGGCAACAAAACTCCCCTGGAATTGAGTCAAAGTGGAGGGTGACGGTGGAGGGCTGTGGGGTCGTGCTGCTACGGCTGGTGGCACGCGCGTGGTCAGAGAGGAGCTGGCTGGCGTGTAGAGGACCAGCGGCGGCGGCACAACAGCTGGAGGTGAGTTGGTGGTGGCGGCCGCTGGAGTGGGAGGAGATGAGGGAGCTCAGGGCACTGGCGGCGGGCTGCTGGTTGCGATGGCTCGCGATGAGGAGGAGCTGGTTGGCGGCGGTGGTGTGGCTTCGGGTGACACAGAGGAAAACAGAGTAGACGAAAGAAAGAAAAGAGAAAGAAAGAAGAAGAAAGAAAGAAAAAAAAGAAAAGAAAGGAAGGAGAAAAAGAAAGAAAAAGAAAAGAAGAAAAAGAAAACAGATTTTTTTTTTCAAAAATTGTTGACCTCTCTTTTTTTCCTTTTCTTTTTTTCTCTTTTTTTTTTTCTTACAGAAAGGCTTTTTTTTGTTTTTCTTATTTTTTAATTTATTTTTTTTTGGAAAATATTATTATTACATAACTTATTTTCGAAATTAAAAATTAGAAAATAATAGAAAATCAATACCCTTTTTTTTTGAGTTCTTTTGAATTTTTACCTTTTCCGCGAACTTGACGCGGGCACGTCAAGAAGGCACGGGATGAGAAGCTCTTCAGATCGCTTGACGTGGCCGCGTCATGAGAGCAAGAGAGCTCCCTAACAATGAGATCTTCATGGGACTTGACGCGGGCACATCATGAGGACAAGAACCTCTTCTGACGATTCTGACCATGAGCTCTCCATATGTCATGACGCGGGCACGTCATGAGGGCAGGAACCCCTTCTGACGATTCTGATCATGAGCTCTCCATACGTTATGACGCGGGCGCATCATGACAGAAGGACACCTACAAATCATCAAAACGAAAATTGAAACTCGAAATCATTCAAATTCAAGGAAAACATATTTAAACTATCACACGAAATCAAACAAACAATTAAAAGAAACAATTGGGTTGCCTCCCAATGAGCGCATTTCTTTAATGTCTTTGGCTAGACATTGAACACCACTCTTCAATATGGGTGTAACTCAATTTTTCCGGAAATCGGTGGCCCTCATCCAGGATCCAAATAGCCTTTGAGTGCAGCTTTCTTTCTTAATTTCCTACTCCTTTTCACCTCATACAGTGTATTCATCCCCTTATACTTGTTCTCAGTAAATTTGAATTTGTCCCTACAAGCAAACTCAGAAAATTCTTGCACAGAGGGATTAATAGCATGAATAACAAACACAGGGTGAGAGTTAACAGAATGTTTCATTGTATCAAAAATATTAAAGTGGACTAGTTCTCCATCAAATTCTATGGACAATGTACCCTTATTAACGTCAATTTTTGTCTGTGTTGTACTAAAAAAGGGTCTACCTAGTAGCAAAGGTGAGGGTCAGGAGAATGATCATCATCCATGTCAAGTACATAAAAGTCAGCCGGGAATATCAATTCATTAACTTTAATCAGCACACCTCTACCAACCCATCATGGTATGCATTTGTTCGGTCAGCTAATTGAATTATTATCTCGGTTCTTTTAATGGACCAAGGTTCAGAAAAGCATACATAGATTTAGGCATTACGTTGATCGATGTTCCTAAATCCAGCAGGGTATTCCTAATTAAAGTGTTACCTATCGTACATGGGACAGTAAACCTACCTGGATCCTCACACTTTGGTGGAAGCTTCCTTTGGAGAACTACTTACACATTCTCCCCAACAATGATCCTTTCGTCTCCCCTCAGCTGCTTTCGGTTGACACATAAGTCCCTCAAAAGCCTTGCATACTTTGGCACTTGTTTGATGGCATCTAATAAGGGAATATTGATCTCTACCTTGCGGAACACCTCCAGGATCTCTTTCTCCTTGTCTTGCTTCTTCGATTTCTCCAACCTGCAAAGAAATGGAGGGGGATTAGTTTTAACGTCTATGATCGGGTCAGGGAGTACTACTGAATTTTTGGTGCTTGTATTCTCTGCCTGAAGTTCTTTCTCAATTTTTTCTTCGTCCTTATTCTTTGGAGTCATGAGTTCGGGCCCCTGAATTTCCTTCCCACTCCTTAAAGTCATTGCACTTACATTCTTCAGGTTCAGTTCATGTTGGGATGGCAATCTTCCATTCACTTGAGACTCAAGACGGTTGATTGATATTGCTATCTGACTTATCTGATTCTGTATTGCTTGTATCTGACCCATCTGGCTTCTTATGTTCCATAGTTCGGAGTCCGTCTTTTGCTGGTGTTGTGCAGTACTAGCCATCAATTATTTCATCATATCTTCCAAAGATGGACTGGCGCTCGGTGGAGGTGGTGGTAGTCAAAATTGATACTGCTGCTGGTACTCTTGTTGTCTACTTGGCATAAAATTGGACTGCCTATTTCCTTCATAACTGAAGTTGGGATGGTCCCTCCAACCAGGATTGTAGGTGTTCAAATATGGGTCATATTGATTTCTTGGCGCGGGCACGTGACCAGCCATGTTCACTTGCTCCATACTTTCTTCTTAGATCATTGGGCACATGTCTGTTAAATGACCTATACCAGTGCAAATCCCACACACCTTGGCCTGAGATGCGTTCCCTACAGCCAGTTGCTTAACAAACGAGGTTAACTCCGTCAACTGCTGCTGGATAGAGGATGTTTCTACCTCATTCACCTTGCGTATCGGGACATCTTCTCTTGTATCAAATTGCTGCGAATTCTCTGTCATTCCTTCAATTAGCTCCCACGCTGCTCGAGGGGTCTTGTTCACCAGTGCCCCTCCACTCGCAGCATCAATGATACTCCTGTCTCTGAAGAGTAGCCCCTCGTAAAATTATTGTATAAGTAACTGCTCACTTATTTGGTGTTGGGGACACTTAATGCACAATTTCTTGAATCGCTCCCAGTACTCATAAAGCGACTCCCCTGGATGCTGCTTGATACCGCAAATTTCTTTTCTTAAACTCGCAGCTCTGGACGCAGGGAAATATTTATCTAAAAATTTTTTCTTCAACTGGTCCCACGTGGTGATACTACCTGGTGGTAGGTAGTACAACCAATCTTTTGTTGAATCCTTCAAGGAGAAGGGGAATGCTCTCATTTTTATCTGCTCTTCTATGATTTTCGAGGGTTTCATACTATTGCACACGACATCAAACTCCTGCAGATGCTTATACGGCTCCTCACCTGGTAAACTATGAAAAGAAGGTAAAAGATGAATTATATCAGATTTTAATTCAAATGTAGTGTTATCAGTCAAACTATGGAAAGTGATGCATAAAGGCTGCTGAGTTAAATCAGGAGCAGCCAACTCCCTTAATGTCCGTGCATTAGCCATAGGGATTTCTTTTTGCTCCGAATCACTCGAAATGTCACCAAACGAATCTATTGGTTCAACTTCGGGTTCAAGTCTCAGAGATGCAGCACTCGAGTGCTCCTCTCTAAGCTGTTTGGTCTCTTTTCTTGTTCTACACGCAGTCTTCTCTACCTTGAGGTCAAAAATTAATTCACCTGTACGAGAAGAACGAGGCATACATTGAAAAGCACCAGAAAATTAGAATAAAAATGAATTTAAAAAGAGGCAAATAACTGACACCAGTCCCCGGCAATGGCGCCAAAAATTGACAGGTTGTCGATGCCTGTACAATAATAAAATTAAACCTAATTGTCAGTTAAAATGACCAAAACCCAATTCCAAATACTGGAGCAGGGACTCTAGATGTGCAATGGGTTACTTGATTCACCCTGTTCCGAAGAGTTTGCTTGATCCGATATACCCGAATGGGATGATTTTTTTTTTCACAAATAATTATGAATTTGTAAACAGGGCAAGTAGCGTCGTATTCTCAGGAATTGTGTATATTTGTCTCTTAAGAAATCCAAAGTAACACAGGGGGTGATTTTGTAGGAACGACGACAATCAAATAAATTCAAATAAGAAAATAAAAATAAATAACTAATTAGAAATTAAACAACAATTCACTGAACTTAGAGTAACAATAATTAAAGGGCTAAATCAATTAAAAAAGAAAACAATTAAAAATAGGATAAAGTAGGCATCTAAAAGTCAAATGGCAATTCACTAAAATCAAGTTAATTGGGTCCGTTTGGATTAGTTGTTTTTGGGGTTGTTTTTCGAAAACAGCACTGTAGCATTTCGTTTTTCAAATACAAGTCCGTTTGGATTAGTTGTTTTTTGGGTTGTTTTTCAAAAATTATATAAAAAACTTTTACTGTAGATGTTTTATGGATTATTTTTAGATGTATTTTTAAAACATATTTTCGAGTATTTTTATAATGTATAATTTTTAAATTTTTATAACAATATACAATTATACATTTATAAATATTTATAAATAAATATATTTATATAAAAATATATAAATGTATTATATTATATATAATACATAATATAAATATATTTATAAATGTATAAATTATAAATGAATATTATATAAATGTATAATTTATAATTTTTATATTTTTATATTTATATACATTTATGCATTTATAATACATTTATAAATATTTATAAATAAATATATTTAAATATTTATGAATAAATATATTCATATATTATATATAAATGTTTAAATGTATATTACTATAAATATATAAATTATAAATGTATATTATAATTTATAATTTATAATTTTTATGTTTTATATTTATATACGTTTATGCATGTATAATACAATTATAAATATTTATAAATAAATATATTTAGATATTTATGAATAAATATATTATATATTATTATAAATAAGTAAGTGTATTATATATATAAATAAATTTATATATTATATATAAATAAATAAGTGTATTATATTTATTTATTATATATTATATTTATAAATAAATATATAAATGTATTATAAGTGTATTATATTATATATAATACATAACATAAATATATTTATAAATGTATAAATGTATATTATTATAAATGTGTATAAATTATAAATGAATATTATATAAACGTATATTATAATTTATAATTTTTATGTTTTTATATTTATATACATTTATGCATTTATAATACAATTATAAATATTTATAAATAAATATATTTATATATTATGTATAAATAAATAAGTGTATTATATTTATAAATAACTTTATATATTATATATAAATAAATAAGTGTATTATATTTATTTATTATATATTATATAAATAAATAACTTTATATATTATGTATTATGTATATTAATATAAATGTATAAATGTATTATATTATATATATAATATAATGTATATTATAAATATACATAAATATATATATTATGTTTAAATGTACATTTTTATAAATGTTCAATATATATAATATATATTATGTATATATTAAATATATATAATATATAACATTTATATAAATGTATAATAACACATTTATAATTTATATAATATATAATATTTATATAAATATATAAAATTATATTTTATGTAAAATAAAATATTTATAATATGTATAAATAAATATATTTAAATTAATATAATATATATCCTATACATAATTGAAATATATAAATTGAAATAAACATATTAAATATGTATTTGGAGTTGTTTTTGATATATTGTTTGGATATGATGTTTTTGGAGTTGTTTTTGAAATACACATTTACTGTAGCATTTGGATTGTGAAAAACAGTTTTTCAAAAATAAGCCCAAAACAAGAATCCAAACGGACTCATTAATTAAAGATCTAATCAAGAAATAACTTTAGCAATGGTTCACCTGATTGATCATCGATGCAGAGGCAATTCCAATTATTTATCAATAAATAGGTTATAACTACCAAATATGCGATGACAGTCAACCCCTCTTTACTGTGTTGGTGATTAAGGTACGTCCGTTAATCACTGCTTTAATTAGGAAATAATCTTAGGTACGCCCGTAAGATTTAATTCCCCAATTACCTTACGTATTAGAGGAGGCCTATTCTAACCAAATAACGCACTACCAGGGTTATTTCAGATTAACCCGCGTATCCCCCTGACACGAATCTAATCGTGCCAGTTGTCACTATTTCAGGACAATTAAATAATTATGGATTTAATGCCCTAATTGACAATAGGTTACCAAATCAACTAATTATCCGGATCCAAGACAATCAATTAATTAAATAACCATAAATATAATAGTCAAGGAATATGCGAATGCCAATAAATAAAAGGAAAAGATTAAATTAAATCGATCCATAATTTTTAGGCGAACCAGAGCCTTCGTTGCTCCTTGACTAAAGTGGTGAAATTAGTTCATGTTCGATGAACAAAGCCCATATAAAATTGAAGAGAGAGACGCGGCCATCAATTGAGAAATGCACGAATTCAATTCGGTCAAAGAAATAAAGCAAAACAAAGTTGCAGAGTAGGATTCAATGAGTTTGTTTGGATAAGAATTTATTTGGATGATTTATTTGATCATGTTACTGTAGCACTTTTTGTGATGTGATGTACTCCCTCCGTCCCACTTTCATAGTCCTGTTTCTTTTTTCACACAGTTTAAGAAAAAGTAGTTAACTTTATTGGAAAAGTAAATTTAGATTGCTATTTTCCTAAAATACCCTCACATTAAATATGGTACAACTTTATGGAAACTTGAATGGGGTAGGTTTATAGTAAAAAAAGAATCAACTCTCATTAAATGGGGTAGGTTTATAGTAACAACAACTTACATTGAATAAGGGTATTTTAGGAAAATTAAAATACAACTGCATTCTTCAATTAGAAAGTGGACTACAATTTGGGACAGACGAAAAAGGAAAACGGGACTATCAAAGTGGGACGGAGGGAGTATATGAAATAAAAGGTGATTGGAAATTGTGTGTATGATGCAAGCAAGATAAAATCTGAAATTTTTATTCCAAATTCCAATGTCTTCCTATTTGCCCCTGCCATCCGCAGGAGAACTCCACTACCAAGAAACCAAGGAAAGTCAACAACCCAAAAAGCTAAGCTAGTGCTCCTCTGCCATGCGTAAGAGAAGCCAAAGTAAATCCTAAGGGAGAAAGTCAACAAAAGTTTTTCAGCTAGTGCTGCCGTCCTGCTAATCTAATTCTAGCCCCTATCTATTGCTCCCCTTTTTCCTCTGATGTGCGGCAGCTCCAGGGAAAATAACATTTCGGCCAAAGTGACCGAAAAGGGCTTGTGTCCCTTTTCTTTAAAAAATGCTGTTGCAAGTCTTCTATTTAATTTCTTTTTCGATGACTGTCAAAGTGATATTGATTGTGATATTTTTGATCTACTTCCTGAAATAAATGTGAATTATGAAAAGTAAGTAGAATCCAACAATTAACCCATATCAAGTCAGATAATAGGGAAAATTAGTAATAAAATAAATAATAAAATTACAACCTATCACTTTTTCTCAATTCTGGAAAAATACCTTTCTTCTATCATACTGTATCCCTAATGAATCAAAATATCTCAAGTTCCCAGCCCGCAACCACATCTCGCCTCTACCATCCCACCTGCTACCCTACCCATTCCATTGCCACCCTCCTCCATCTGGCAGTCCCTTCTTACTTGCAAACCTTCCTCCTTTCTCCCATCCTGCAACCTCTTCTTAGGACTTTCTCTCAAGAAAAAAAGGTAGGAAGATAAAGAATTCTAAGGATTTAGCTTCAACTAATATTAATTTCAGTCATTTAACTATTAAAGCTATGGTTTTAATTTTAGTTTGTTTTGTGAAGCAACTGGATACCATATGATAATGTTGCCTTTATTGAAGTGTAATTTGTCTATAACCTACTGGCCTTCAAATGTGGATCTTTTACTGACGCTTTACATGGAATACAACGACATAGGTTTTGGTGTTTGCATAAGAAAAAGAACCCAAAAAAAAAAAATGAAGTGTACTCTGTTTTGCTGATGGGACGAAGAAGTAATTGGAAGAAAAACAGTAGTTTTGAAATTGTACAGAATAAAACTTCAATTTTTCTAAGAGGCTATTATTTTTATTAAGGTTATATAAGAGAACGATGTATGCAGGAATAACCAAATTGGGTTGGGATTAGAAGACAAATTAAGAAATAAAGAAACAAGGCCAAATGATGTATGTTAAGAAATTTGCTATACAAATTAAGAAATTTGCTTACAATTTCTTAAGGAAATCTACCATTAGATATTAACTAATGCACTTTACTTGGAGTGTTTATAAGTCCTCACATCTTAAAACTAACAGTTAAGTAAAGAGACAGATATTTTTTTGGCCAATTTTTGGCACTGATTCACATCATGAGGATGCTAGCTCTAATGCCAAAATATCTATTATCACCGTACTTGCGTTCTACTTTTGTGGACCGCTGAAATTGAACAAGATTTCACGGAAGAAAATGGAAATTTGCACGCAAATCGAGTAATATGCGAGGTGAGATCGAGCCTACATTTGAAAGGCTTGATGAGCTCAAGTTCAAATTCAAATAAGAAATTTCAAAGTTGTACTCAAAGTCGAGCATATGGGTATTCGAGTTTAATTCGATTAAATTACGTCGTTACATGCAAATAAAGTTGCAAAACTTTTTTTTATGTACATACGTATATATAGTGTATAAAACGTGTAATTTTTGAAATTTTATAATTTCTTGTGTTAGTTTTGAAACATACCAAGGCTTCAATTTGATTGAGACCAAGGAAGGAGAGGGGGAGAGAGAGAAAGGGGATACGAAAGGACAAAAAAAAAAGGTCACTGGCACTAGTGGACGTGCTGGTCTGGCGGCAACAGATGCAGGTGGGTTGAGGTTGGGGAGAAGAAGAAGAAAGGAAAATTTTTTTTTTTGAATCTCCTCCACAGGATTCTTCGTTTCAGGCATAATCACCTCCGATGGACGAGGAAAAATGTGATATAGCGAAGGGATATATAAGGCAGTTTGCTTGCCCTTCTTTTCGGCTTGTTTCCGAGCTTGCATTTCCTTTCTATCCTTAGCAGTTGGATGAAATCCCAGTCCAAATGTATCCTTCTGCGTCGGGATCTCTATTGGCTCCAAAATTCCTTGCAATTCCCTCCCAAGACCTTTTCCTATTTCGTATCCGCCTCGGATCATCTCCCTAACCATCATAATACTGGCCTCTGGCAAATTTGATTGAGTGAACGACTTATCCCTAGATGCACATCCTACAGAGACTATGTCAGCAACATGATGAGATGAAATTGGAGTCCCTTTTCTGTCTTCACCTTTGAATTTTGCATCAATGATCATGGTACAGTCATCCTCAGCAAATACAGTAATGAGCTGATCATTCACAATAAATCTCAACATTTGATGCAGAGAAGATGGCACTGAATTGGAAGCATGTATCCAAGGTCTTCCAAGTAAAATGTTGTAAACACTGGAGAAATCCATGACTTGGCAAGTAACTTGGAATTGAGCAGGGCCTATCTCCAATATGAGATCTGCTTCACCCATAGATTCCCTCCTTGAACCATCAAATCCTCGAACCACAGTTGCAGATGGACGGAGTTTAATATCAAAAAATCCAAGCTTGGTGAGAGTGTTCCATGGACAGATATTCAACGCTGACCCATTATCCACTAAAACCCTCGGCAACAGCTTTCCATTGCAACGGACCGATATATACAAAGCTCTGTTATGCCCGATCCCTTCTGCAGTCAGATCATCATCGGAGAAGGTAATATAATTAGCAGCAAGTACATTCCCCACAATGTTAGAAAATTTATCCACCGGAATATCTTTAGGGACTTGAGCTTCGTTCAGAATTTTGAGCAATGCTTCTCTGTGCAGCTCGGAAGTCAAGAGAAGATTCAGAAAAGAAATCTGAGCAGGCATCCTATCCAACTGCTCCACTATTTTGTACTCGCTTCTTTTCAGCATTTTCAGAAAATCTACAGCTTCATTTTCAGACACACGAGGCTTGGGTGTCGGAGATTTAACTTTGGCCCTGGATTGAACATCAATATCGGAGTTTCCCACAATTTTCCCAGATCTAGTAATAGTAGATATATCTTCCTTCAAACAATCTTTACCCCCAATTAACAGACTGGGCTCCTCGTAGTTCCATGGTACCTCTTGCAAGTTATTGACAGGCATTTGCTCTGGAAATTCGAGAATGGCAGGCTCTGATATATCCCATTCAAAAGAAGGAAGATCCAAAATAAAAGGAACCTCAGAATTGTCAACCTCGGAGGGCCCTCCTTCTACCATAAACGGCTCCTCTTTCTCAAACACAAAAGATTTTAATTTTTCCTCAGTACTATCCTTAGTTATGGACTCTTTAACAGACAGTAGTTTCCTCATCTCCGCATGGTCAGTCTCCATCACGCCAAATACTTCAGTTTCATCTACAATGTACTGACTGGGGTCGACAAAATCTTCATCAGCGATGATAACCCCCACAGTGCTCCCATGCTCAGGAAGAGGATTCTTACTAACATTCGGTCCCTGCTCTCCCTTTCTTCTGAGAAGGATGTCTCCAGAGTCAATCATGTCCTGAATTTTATGTTTTAAAGCCCAACAATTGCCAGTGGTATGACCTGGACTTCCAGAATGATAAGCACAGATTACATGCGGATCATAACCGGCAGGAGGACCTCTGGGATAGATTTTGGGAGGAACAGTGCCAATTTTTCCAGCTGCTTTTAATTGCTCATACAACTGATCAATAGGTCGGCCCAAGTTGGTGAAGGTTCGAAATTGCCTCTGAGTTTGAATTCCACTGGTTTGCAAAGGATTTTGAGAAGGGTTATTGTTTTGCAGGGTTGGTCTGGAATGGTAAATGGGACGAGAGTGATTTTGAAAAACAGGTTGTGGAGTTGGAGGTAAGGGCGAGGTATTCGAATGATTTGGTCGAGAATGATGGAATTGGGTAGTGGTGTGGTAGACTGGTTGAGGATTGGTGTAATACGGGTAAGGAAAAGGATAGGTGGGGTGGTTTCTAGGTCTGAAAGACGGGCCTTGATCCCATATAAAAGCAGTATCACCTTCTCTTTTCTTAAACTGGGGCTTTTTCCCATTATTGTTTTGATTTTGTAGAGCATCCAATTGCAACTTTAATGCAGACACATTAACAATCTTCCCTGCCTTGACAAATTCATCATACTCCTCCAATTTGTTAATGATAACAGCAAATGGACTTCCAGTCATGCGGAAGATCTCTTCAAAATAGGGTGGATCGTGAGCCTTGATGAAAGTGCGAACAATCTCCTCCTCAGTCATAGGAGGCTCCACTTTGGCAGCTAACTTTCTCCACCGTTTTGCGTAGGTCTTGTGATCTTCTGACGGCTTTCTTTTCGTACCCTCCAGTGTGGTTCGTGTTGGTGCCAACTCACAGTTAAATTCATACTGTTTCACAAAAGCAGTTGATAGATCCAACCAGGTCTTGACTTCTCCAGACTTCAAATTTGAATACCAATCTAGAGCATCTCCCTCCAAACTTTCCGGAAATAGACGCATAGGCAAATTCTCATCATCCACAGGTTTACCTAACTTGTTGGCAAACATCTTGAGGTGCGTCTTAGGATTTCCAGTTCCATCATTCTTGCTGAATTTAGGGGTTTTGAATCCCATCGGTAGCTGAATATCTGGGAAAAGACATAATTCATCGTAGTCCAAACCACCATGCCTGCTCAACCCTTGATTCTTTCTCATAAAATCATCGAATCGGTCCAACCTTCTTAACAAATCTTTATCAATGGGTGTAGGTTGTTCTTCCATCGCCGCCTTCCCTTGAGATCCAGTATCCAGTACAAAAGGCTCTGCAGTATGGTGGTGGGGTCCCTGAGGGTTGGGGGGAATGTTCAGATTGGTTTTTGGATGGGTTTGAGGGATTTGACTACTGGTTGGGTTCACCAATACATAATTCGGATGCATATAGGAAAAGTCTGAATTTAGTCGGGTGAAGGTATTTTCAAGTGGGTTAGCGCAAGGAGGAAAGAAAGGTGTTTGGGTATTGGATGTATGGGGTGGTTGATAGTCTTGTGCAGGTAGGTGATTATCGATAGGTTCTTGGTCGTTTGGGACCCCACCACCATTGTTGCTAGCGACCAGCTGATCAATTACACGCCTTTGTGCGGCCATTTCAGCACTTAACTCATTGAACTTGCCAAGTACCTCATTTAACTGAGCTCCCAATGCTGTGAAGTCCGGTGATGTAACCATAGCAGATCTTTCCGAAGCTTCAGGCGCTGAACTCATGTTTACAGACTGTCTCAAGGCTCTACTTCGGGATCTGGTGATGATGGGGCTTCTTTGGATAGCAATTGTGAAAAATACCTGATAGGGGGGAAAAGAAACTCATTTAGGGTTGGACTTTCTGTCAAATTGCTGTGATTTATTCAAGAAAAAGAAAAAAGAAAGAAAAGAAAAGAAACATGAGTTAGTAGATATCTAAATAATTCGGATGCATGTCCTATGGGGGAGCCCTTTTTTGCCAAGGGTAGGCCTAACATGATGCAACACTTTCGAAGTGAGACCTGTTTATCAAACCTGTGTTTCGAAAAATAACTTTGCAACAGATAAGGATCATTTCATTGATGGATTTCAAAATATCATACATCATCTACATCATTTCTCGAAGTTGATTTCGTACAAGATCATTAAACTTTTTCAATCTATCTATCACAGCATCTTTTGGCTCTCTGGAATAAGGATTCTGCATGCGTTCAGTTTGATCATACAACCTGCCACACTTTCTCTTCAATTCCTGGTGTCTTTCTCGCATTTCTTCACACAGTCTTTTATTCTTCTCTGCTAGACCCTTATTCACTTTCACAGATTGTCTTAATTGTGCATTTTCTGTGTTTTTCGCCTCAATGATTGCCATTAGTTTCTTGATTTCCTCGGACTGTTCCATCAATGGTCGCCCAGCACCAGATTCTCTGAGCCACTCCTCGTATTGAGGGGTAACCAAAGCCATTTGTTTAAGTTGCGGAACATAAGCGATATCCTCATCATCGGACAGTGTTTCCCAAGCTTCGACAATTGATACTTTCATCGGAATTTTGTCTGGACAGGTCCCCTTGCCAAAACTGATGGTGAAATCGGTCAAGTCAGGTGTGAGTGGTACTCCTTGAATGCGTCCTAACTGTCTGAGAAACCTTTTCGGAGTGTATGCCATGATGCCTTGAGTTCCCAATAACGGTATCAAATCTGATGACTTGGCGCGCAGAACAGGGTTAAAACAGTCGGTCCAGTCTAGTACCCATCTAATCTTTTGATCTGACAATACCCTCAAAAAGTCCAGCCATTCCGATGCACTTCTTGGCAAATTACTTTGGTCAACTCTTTTATGATGGGTAGAGATCCAATTATACCCAATCAATGGTAGACCATCAAGAGCAGGCAACTGTCTTTGAAAATGTTCCATGGCCCATATATGCAAAATTCGATTTGATCCATAAAAGAACTTTGACCCCCTTTGGCAGTTGGTGCACGCAACAAAAATGTCAGCTAACACAATCGGTACTATAGAGGCTTGTCGATCCTTAATTCCAAAAAACAAGTCAGACAGGAGTTTAGTGATTTTGAAACCAATTTTCTTATCTTTTCTAGGAAACAAATAAATCCCCGCCATCACAAGTCCATACACCAGCGGCCTCTTACATTCCCATGTTACCTTAGATGTAAATGAAAAATCCTTCGAATACTTATCAAACCCGTCTTTCATTGCGAATCTGTCAAACAAAAATTTTACATCTATGCTCTGATCTGATCCTCGCACTACAGACTCTTTTAGTCCAGTAAAATGACAGAATTCAACCTTGCCAGAAGCAATCGGAAATATCACTGCTGTACCCTTTACTGACAAATTCAGAAGACCGGCTACCTCTTCAATGGTCGGAGTCAACTCCTTGCTTCCTATCCGAAATGTTGAACCATCGGGATCCCACAATTGAATTAAAGCTTCTACCAAATATCCATCTGACTCAATGTCTTTGAAATCCCCAATTGGTCCAAGGTAGGAGGCGACCTGATTGATCTCACTAAATGAAAGAAGCCCTGGCCATCTTCGAACCTCCATTGGAACTGTTAACAGCTGACTGATTTGTTGAGGCCTGTCCATCTAAAGCATGTAATGTAGATTAAATACCTTACCTACAGGCCTCACTTCTCCAGTTTTACAAGGATTTAAACATGAATATCCCACAGAGGGTTAGTTACCCAGGGACAACAAGGTTATTATATTCCTAAAATGGGATTCCCTAAACGGCATTCCCTCTAGGGTTAATGCATGATGCCAATTTATCAAAGCGACTAAATATGCATTATACAAATGAAACATGACCTAAAAGAATCCCCTTTTGTATGCCGGGGTGAGCCTAAAATGAAATGTATTCATGCTGTAAATGCGAAACATTGAATTTAAACGTGTCATATCACATAGGGTAGGCTCTTAGAGAGTACCATGCCAGGACTCTTATTTTCTAGGGCTTATGAATGCAATGGAGACAAAAACCAAGAAAAGTTAGTTCAATCAGACAAATACACAACACATTGTAGCAAAACAATACAAAGAGAGAAAGCAATAAAAGGAAAAGAGGGGTTGGATCCCTCCCCTCGTGAATAGTGTCACTAATAGGGTAAGACAGATTCTACCTTAGGTAAACTATCATGGATGCATGAGGTATCGGCTCACTAATGCATCTAGACTCGATAGGTTTTAGGTCCCCGAGCCTTCAGACTTGGAAACCAAAGGTCATCAACCCCGAGGTTCTTTGTCGGTGGCTCGAGCGATTCCCCAGACATTGCTACGCGCACGTCGTGCCACGGCCACATGTCCAAGTGAATCTATCAAAAATCCTCAATCTTCGACTAAAAGCTAAAGGTCATCAACCCAAAGCTTAAAATGGAAGATTAAGTGACCCCTCGGATCATGCTATGCACACGTCGTGTCGCGATCACACGTCCAAGTGGGTCGCCTAATCCTAACAGGGAAGAGTGGCGTGACAAGCCACTAAAAGAAAAATAAATGAGGGACAAAAGATAAAACGTATGCACGTATGCTAGTGCTTGGTTTGGAGGGGAAGGATCGAGAACCAATGCGAGGCTCTAGGGTAATATTCCCCACCCCCCAAATGCAAAGCGCGAAACAAAAGTAAATAAATAAATCATTCATCACATACACGTAAGACGAGGAACAATTACGAGTGTGAAATGCAAAACATCCTAAAAAAGAAAAATGCAACCTAAAACATCCAAATATGATAAATATAAGGGTTAAAGAGAGAAAAGACGACTAAACCAAGTGCTTGGACTCTCTAACGTCCCCAGTGGAGTCGCCAAGTTGTCGCGCCCCATTTTTCGCGATGGAAATAAAAATAAAGTGTGAGGTTTATAAAAGATATGATTTTATTTTTAAACAAGTTAAAAGGGACCTAGAATGGGACTTAAAAAGAATGCGACAATTTGGGTCCAAAATTTAGTCTAAAAGGGTTTTTAAGAAAAAAACAGGAGTCGCCACTTGGTATGGAGTTTTGGTGTACCAAGTCACCCAAAAAAATAAAGTAAAACAAAATAAAACCCTTTTTGACAACTCCAGGTCTTTGAAAACAAGAGAAAATGGATCCGGGAGTCACGGTTGAAGAAAGGGAAGGCAAAGATTCGATTAACTCAAATCTAAGGCACCCTTTCAACCTAGTCTAAGCTAGTTGCGAGGTTTAGTCAAAATTTTCCTAATCTAACCCTTAATTTATCACATTTGGATGTTTTCTATATGAATGCAAATCTAAAAAATATCGCAAGGGACAACATGTTCATTCAAGGGTTTAATTGAACCAATCGCATTAATTGCGAAGGTCAAAATAAATCCTCGAAGGTGTCACAAGGATGCAAATGATGAAAAAGAAAAGAAAATAAAAGAAAAGAAATTAAATTATATACATATATATAAGTGATCAAAGAAAAAGGGAATGCAACATAAAGGGTACGGGAGGCAAAAAAATTCGTGACATAATTTTCTTATACATGGATTAATAGGGTATTTAAACCAGAAAGTTATAATCACCCATTTCCCATGTTTGAAAAATAATTATCCTAACATGAACAAGCAAATGAACTAGCTTAAATGGGATGCAATTCTAAATGACATGATTAGCACCTATAGCGGGTAGGGGATAATAAAATAGGGAATATCATGCAAATGAGAAAAGATCCTAAAAATGAAAATATGCATGAAAATGTGGTGAATAGCATACAATGATGAATCTAGCGCAAGATGACCTAAAGGGTCTAGCGTTGGACTAGCCCATTTCTAAAAATCCTTGCTAGCGTTGGACTAGCAAGTAAACAGAGGGAGAAACCACAACTAGCGTTGGACTAGTGTGGTGACGTCATGCATTAACAATTCATAGCGAAACAAATAAAACATAAATTAAAACAAATAAACACATAAGAGCACGTAGCACATAACACGTAAACATAATATTTAGATGCCAAAATCCTAAGAAAAGCGGACAAAACACATAACACATAAGCCACATAAACACGCAATCTATCTATTACATCGGGGGCGCCTAACTACAATCTAGAAGGGAAAAATATAATAAAACAAATCTAATTATCCTATCTATTACATTTTTGAGGTATTTAAATGCCTCTTGAATCATTATAAAAATTAACTAAAACATATATAAGAAAATTTGAATGAATATTTAAATCAAGTAAATAAAGCATATAAAAATATATAAACACATAGGAACAAATAGGAGCACATAAGAACACGTAATTGACATTGAAATAATAAAATAGGAGTACCTCCCGTTTGAAGTGGTGACTAAATGGAGTCAAATTGTCCTATTTATACTCACAATGAACAAAAGAATCATGGCACCACTTTAATTGAAAATAATAATAATGTTAAAATATTAAATTCACATTAACATGTCAAACGCAAAGAAATTTAAGAACATCTAAAAATTGCAAGTTGAATATGTTCAAAAATAACATAATTAGTTATTAAAGAAAAGAAACAATCATAATAAAGAGAGTCAAAATTCATCAGGGACTGAATTGCAAAGATTGAAAACTTTTAGGGACAGAAGTTATATTTTTCCAAAGTTTAAGGGTCAAAATTAAATGAAAGATAAAATTCAAGGACCAAAGTGCAATTAAATTAAGTACCTAAGTGAAAGGAATTTAAAATGTTCTGGGCCACAGTAAAATTACTCCAAAGATCAGGGACTGAAGTGCAAATTCGC